CGTGATACGCTCTCTCTTGCACTTCGTCGTCGCTGTGTGACCTCCAAACTGTGCTCTCTCGGAACGTGATCTCCAGCGTCGTCCTCCACCTCCATCTTCTCAGACCATGCCTGTAATTAATGGTCAGCGGGAAATGGCGTCAACTTACCTCGGGGCCCGTTACTTTGCGTCTGAGCATTCTCGTCACGGGGGGTCGGAGTTCTGTTGAAAAAGGAGAGCAGAACGGCCATTAGCATTCGTGTTGTAAACAAGGGAGCGGCCTGCAATATGTCATTGTCTACCTTAATTGAGGCAACCGGGAATCATCTAAGGCGCGGATGTGAGTAGCGCTTACCGAACTTTGCAATTTGTCAGTAATTTATACACTTCGACCGGTAAAGCAACCCCAGGCCGTAAAAACATCCGAAAGTAGAATCTCTTTCCCGCAGACACTTCGCTGGTGTGTAGCGCTAAGCGAAGGATGAGCAGTGATGACGCGCAGGGACTTGATTATAATGACAAAGACCTGTGCAGTATCGGCTAATTGAAGCCTGGGCCTCGGATGACAAGTCAGTCAACCGGTGTACTGGGCTGGCGCCCGCATACATAGTCCTCCGTAGGCATATCCGTAGGACCGACACTGGTGATTAATGAGTTTCCTCCCTCTCCCCTATAACAGTTAATTGGTTCCTGCCTCCTCTAACTGTTGCCCGCTTTTCGTTGACGATTTATCTCTGACGATGGACTCCCGCAAGAGCCCGAAAGCTCAGAAGAATAAAGTTACAATTCCGGCGACCGAAACGCCTTCGTCTTCTATTGGTTTCTCTGTCCGACTCCTATGCCGCGGTTGGGTTTTTGCGCGTGCGCTTTGTATTGCAATGCTAAGCATACGTACCTGACTTTGGATTCCCCGTACCGTTTGCTTTACAGGTTACATGTTGGTATCGCTACTGACCCCCTTTGCCAAGACTTCTAGAAGTTTCAAAGTCTTCTCGTGGCTCTAGGACTGTACATTTATGGAAAAATATCTTATCTGTAGGCCCGCTTGGATATGTTGTCTGCTGGGATAAGGGAATAGAAGTCTTCTCTTTGTACTACAGACTGCCTTATGTTAAGTTTTACGAGAATGGGGGTTTAGGCTTAAGTTAATATCAGGGTCACAGTTACGAAAACGGGAGTGGGCACCCTTCTTCATGGATTTTGGTGCAAGAACACCTTCGTCGAATAGTAAGGCGAGGGAGCCTAGTGTACAATGAGAGGTCCGAGCCTTCTAACTACTACCTAAATCCCCAGTGAATGAAAATAACCTTTTCCAGATTAAAACTCGATGAATGCCTCTTCGCTAAAGCCGAATGAGATAAGGGTTAGGGTTGGACACAGGAAGGGATACCCCTCTTCCAGGAGTTGAGCGTAAAACCACCTGTAAAGCGGAATGTTCCTATCCCTGCGCTCTACCCATTGCGCGAGCAACCCTCTTGCCACTCAAGTAACTAAGATACAAAAAATATTTAAACTGCCCTCTTTGAGACCAATTCAGTCGCATACAGCTGTCAGAAGCATTGGTAGGGAAAGAATAATTGCTTTATTTATGATGAAAAATCATGAATTTTCACTGAAAAATGGCTCCGTTCACGGAGAGCAAAGGATAGATTAAGCAATTGGTCATGGTAAAAGGTAAAAGGTCATGTAATACTCAAAATTAAAGCTTTACACTATATCCACATCTACTGTGGAGACAGATCAACTTTCAACTTCTCAATTTCCGCTTCTTCACACGTGAGGTAGTGTGCTAGGAATGGGAATACAGAGTGCTGATATGCTGATGTGCGGCAAGACATATGACGGAAGCCTCGACGCAGGGGCGAAAGATTTCGCAGTCATTAATTCAGAATGAAGAGGGTGAGCGAACTCATTAAGGATGCGATCAGCAAATTGCTTGACCGTTTTTATAGTGGCGCTATATTATAATGTCGGCTAAAAAAAAAAACACAGGAAACTCCGGCAGCTGAAGAGAGCATTCGGAGGCTACGTTTCAAACTGACTAGGTCTTCTTTAAGTAAGGCTGGAAAAATAACTGGAGAGTAGTAAAGAATGAGGGGGAGAATACAGGCATCTA